GTGGAAGAGGAAATTCCCTAAACCACCTACGCCCAGAGGGCTGGTGGGATTTCCAGACTGCCTCGATCTGCCCCCAGTCTGCGCGCCACCCAGGCTCCCCGGGAAGACACCTGGGCAAGAGGTGCTGGACAAGCTCCGCGCCACGCCGGCGGACCAGGTGGGGCGTTCCCAACAGGGCCTTGCCTTCGAACATCGAAGGAGCTGCCATCTCTTCCGCGGCGGAAGTGCGGCGGAAGTAAAACGTGGCCGCCTCCGTCCGCGGAAGTTGGCGGAAGGGCGGCCGAATCCAGCGGAAGCAAAAGTCGACCTCCCAAGAGATGACAGCATGTTTGGATATTCAGGGCTTTGGGAACCCACCAGGTGGCGAAGTTGCAGCGGAATACCGTCTGCGTGAGGCGGGCGTTCCTGTACGACGCGAGGACCCAAGGGGCTGAACACCACAGCAGACCAAGCAGCTACAGAAACAGACAGCCTGAGATGTCCTCGGCACTGGACCCCCGTCCCCCCGCACAATCCCACACCCCTTACCTGACGAGCACCGCGCGCCTGGGCTGGCGCCAGGCACCGGGGGGAGGGTGGCACGGCGCCGACCCGACAAATCTACGCGAGCCTCCGAAAGAGTGTGTTCATGCTGTTTTGCTCGTGCTCTTCACTTGCAGCAGAGATGACGAAACGGCATACATATACACACACACGCCTTTTTTGCAGTCCGCACGGAGTTCTCGGATCTTCGGCTGGACTCCCCTCCCCGGCGCGCCGCGCCAGGAGCGGCGCTGGAGGCGCCGCCAGGGGGGTCCAGCGGAGATCCAGGAGATCCGCACGGACGGTCAAAGCGAATGATTATAACATTTGTTCTTCCTCCGCTGCAAATGTCTGTACGAAACGCTGGGCCTGTACACATTCGTGTCTCATTTACTTCAACTTCGCGCGTTGTCAGTGAGGTCGAAGCGAGCTCAAAGTCATTACGCCTCCCAGATCTCCATCCAGCCCATCCATCATCGCTTCTTGCCGAAACACATTGATGTTGTTAAGCACCGGGGGGGGCACGAGTTATGCAGAGGCTGACACCAGCCCGAGTAGGGGGGCCTCAACAATGGAAGATGCGGCACTATTGCTGGTGGCAACCCCAGTCGAGACGACCTGCCCATCTCCCCAGGTATACGGTGAGCGGCTTGAGTAAGGAACACTGACTTTTCAAAACGGGCTCGGTCGTTCCTTATGCTTGCATGCGTTAATTACAGTTGCTTATGCGTTGTGGGTTATGTATCGTTCCTTACGCGTTATTCCTTGGGATAAAAAAGAGGCTTCGTTCCTTATTTATCGTTCCTTAGGTCAGGCCGATGACTGTACATCAACAGACTGTCGTGTGCCGTCTTCCCTTGCCGTTGCCGCTGGCGTGCTGCGCAGGCTGCAGGCCTTCAGGCCGGAGCGCCAGCAGCGCGGAGGTGGGCTCCATACATCTTAGGCGATGCTTCAGAAAACTTAAGTTTTCGGCCAGAGTCTCGATTATTATTAACGTTTTAATGTAAATCTTAAGATTGTAGTAGAAATGTTGGTTTTTTATTAAAGTTCTGAGACTATGAATTTCTTAACCCATGATTTCTTAAGCATTTCGCAGGGTGTATGCCCGTGATCTTCTGTCTGGGTGGGCACAACCAGCCTTGCACATTGGTTGGATTGTCCCTTTCACAGGGTATGAGCGAAATCCTGCCATTTCCGTGGCGGTGCGACACAATGATTGTCGCACAGGTTGTCCAGTTTGTTGTGTTCGTCAGGCGTCTTCGTATTTTCTAGAGCGGAGCGTGTCGTTTTGAGCATGTGCAATCACGAAGGGCTTGCCTCGCAACCAGGCTCCCGCGTCCGCAAAGGACCTAAGTTGCAAGCGGGCCTCCGCTTCGGCTGACGATGTTGCGCTCGCGCCTGCCTGCAGTCAGGCACTTCGAGGTGGCCGCGGCGACCAGCAAGGTCTCCTGGAGGCAGAAAGTTGCCCAGTCCCTCCAGTCGTAATGCTCTTGTTGGCCCACCCGCCGAGGAGCCCGGAGAGCGCCGTGGCGCCCGGCGGGCTCCTCGACTTCCTGCTCGCCGACGTGGCGCACGTGGCGCTGAGGCGCGAGGGCTGGCGGCGGCCCTCCTGAGGCGAGGGACCGCCGGGCCCGCGCGCCGCTTGGCCCAAGACCGATTCGATGGGATAAGCACCGTCACCATGAGCCAAGACCAAGACGTCACGGGATGTTGTCGTAGCCTGCCGCGGTTCTGGTCCGCACGCGTTGTCGCCGATTCGCCGGGACGGTCCACATGCTCAACGATTCGGCGGTGGCCAAGATGGACGGTGGTCAAGATCGACACCGCCGTTTCCTCGTTGAGCCTTTGGTCATGGTCACCGATTCTTCCACCTACGAATTGACGCCCCAGGGGGCGGAGTGCATCGGCCCCCAATCGCCCATGCATCGCCAGTCGGGGGCATGAGCGTCCCGCCGCGCTCAGGAGCGCGCGGCTTCGCTCTCGGGGCACCGTCGCTGCTCCGCTGGCGACCTATCGCCGATCCCGTGTCAGCCCTCGAAGCAGCAAAGCACCGCGCAGGCGCGCGCCCAACGCTTCACCTGGGGCGGCCCGAGGGAAGAGGGGGGAAGGCTGGGAAACGCAAGCCAAGGACAACAAAACAATGTTTTGATCCGCGGGTCGAGAGCGCACCTCTTCCGGTCGAAGCTAAGCGGGCCGCGCGGAGCTTGAATTAAAAGGACAACAAAACAAGCAGCAACGAACGGCAGCGGCGGCGAGACACGACGGCCGACGGCAAGCACGCAGGGAAGCAGAGGCAAGAGGCACGGCCCCCCCCCCGGGAGCCCGCCCGCCCCCCCCCACTCGGTCCCCCCTCGTCCCCAGCAGCAGTGCAGGCACGGCTGGACACACGCGACGTCGAGGGGGGCGGAGGAGGAGGAGGAGGAGGAGGAGGAGGAGGAGGAGGACGGGGAGGAAGAGTGGGAGGAGTGGGAGGAGGAGGAGGAGGAGGAGGAGGAGGAGGAGGACGACGACGAGGACGACGAGGACGAGGACGAGGACGAGGACGAGGACGAGGACGAGGACGAGGAGGAGGAGGAGGAGGAGGAGCCCTCGGCCGTGCTCGGCCCGACGGGGGCCCTCGCCGAGCCCTCTGGGGTCCGGCGGGAACACGGGCCCCCGGGGGGGGGGCTCAGAGGACCCCCGGGGGGGGGGTCCCACGCCGTGAGAGACTGCGACGTCGGGGGTGCGGGAAGAGCAGGGCTGACAGGTGGGCGACGCAGAGCAACGGGGTCGTCTGCACCGACATCGCGCGCGCGCAGGGTGCCCGCGCAAGGTGGTGGCGCGTGAGCGCCCTCGTTTCCACGGTAGCTCGCCGCGTTGGCGACCCGCGTAAGCCCCGGCGTCAGGTGGTTACAGTCGGGGCCCTGAAGAAGGAACCCTTCTCGTTGGGGAGGGGCTCCGTGTTCCTTGATTGCTTCACAGTTTGCCTTGGGTTGCCTTTAGTTCTCGATGGGAAATCGAGGTTCAACTTGTGGATAGAAGGGGCCTCGTTCCTTGTTTCGGGTTCCTTGGGTCAACGCTCCGACTGTACAGTGGAAAACCCATGCCAAGAAACACCCCGCTTGCCTCCAGGGCGCCTTGGGTCTCGTGGGTGTCGTTGGTTTGGCTCTGGAAAGCGTGACGATACCACATCAAAAATGCATGGACGTCCTGGGGTCTCAGGCTTGGGTTTCTCGTGGAAGGTTTTCTTTTTTATGGCCGAGCTTCTACTGTATGTGATCTCGCGCAAGACCCCTCTACTGTCGTCGCTCAGGTGGTACCATTACCTCCCACCCCCCTCCAAACGGAAACACGGTCCCCCGGAGGACCGGGGCCCTCCGCCGCGCCAGCCCCCCCCGCGCGGCGCGTCCGCCGGCGCGCGAGGCGGTGGTGCGGATGAGGGATCGCTGCGCAGCGGTGGAAGAGAGAGGAGAAGGAGGAGGAGGAGGAGGAGGAGGAGGAGGGGGACGAGGGCGAGGGCGAGGGCGAGGACGAGGATGATGACGAGGAGGAGGAGGAGGACGAGGAGGAGGAGCGGATTGAAAGCCAGGCGGCAACCTAGACATCTGATGTGTCTGTGCTTGCCTTGCGCGAAGTGTCTGAGACAGTGTTCGCAGTGTGTCTGTCGGTGAGGGCGTCTGCCGGAGAACGATTTCCGCATTGATTTTCAGCACGTTGGAAGAATTCGGAATATGTGAGTGCAAGGGTGAAGTTCGACGAAGCACCATATCATAAACAGACATGTTCTGAGGTTTGTGCGGAATTCTTGGATCGGGGTTGGAGCCCCTTGGCAGCGCTTCCGGCGCCGCCCCTGGCGTGCTCCGCGCCCTAGGGAAGGGGGGTCTTGCGCCGATCCAAGAAACCAGAGCGGAGCTCCGAAGAGGTGTATGTTCACCTTCTGCTACGACTGGGAAACGGGGCGCAGGGGTGAAACGCAAGTGCACCAGGCAGCGAGCATGTACGGGTGGATCCCCAGGCGCTTTTAAACCGCACCCGAGTCGGACAGAGCCTCGGCCTGCGTGATCAGTACCAGACTCTGTTTGGAGGAGGAGCGGACGGGAGGGTCGACGATCGGAGTCTCCAGAGTGCTCTTATCCCTCTGGGGGGGCCTCTGGGAGGCCTCTCGTCGCCACTGCTGGGCACCTCCCCGGGAGCTCTTGTCAAGTTGCACCCCCTGCGTGGAGAGATCGGGGCGTGAGTGTGTGGTCCCCCGAGCCCGGACAACCCCGAGACTCGAAAACATGTACCCTTCGGCGGGCCGGGGGCGGTAAAGAGGGGGGTGATGATTGGGAACCCCCAAACCGGGTGGTGAGATACCAGGTGGCGACCTGGAATCCCCAAAAAGGTCACCGCTGGGTTTGGGGACGCGGGGTCACCACCGGGTTTTGTGACTCCTGGACCCCCCAGCGTTCGGGACATCCTCGGAAAACCGCACGAGTCCCCAAAACGGGTGGTGACACCAAATCGCCTGAGACTCACCGCCAGGTGTTGTCACCACCACGTTTGGGGACTACCAAGATGACTAGGGGGGGGGGATATGAAGGGGGGGTCTCACCCTTCTGTGGGCCGGGGGCGGCAAAGAGGGGGGGTGATGACCAGGGGGGGGGAGGATATGGAGGGGGGCCAGGGTAGCTCCCTAGATCTCATGACGCCTCTTCTCACTTCGCTGCGTCCTCAGCCCGCCCCTGGGCCGCGAACATGGACGATTGGCGTTTACTGAACGGCCCGGGGCGTTTACTATGCAACCCTGCCCTGTCTGATTCCTTCTTTGGGTGCGTTACTAAGCTAGGGGGCCACATGCGAACCCTACCCCATACCCCCTCAGAAATCGTGGGGGGTAGGGGTAGGGTTCGCATGTGGCCCCCTATAAACGGCTTCATCGCGTGTCGGGGTGGCTATCCTCGGGGTGGATGTTCTGCCCTCGAGACTCGGGGTGGAGGATCAGGAGAGGAAAAAACACACAGACACAAGTAATCGTCGATTCCCAGGAAAATATAGGAAAATAGGGGAAGTGGGGGGGAAGACAAAAACCCAGAAAATATTTGAAAATATGGGGAATCCTTTTATTTGTGTGTATTTATTTGTGTGTCCTGGGGCCCCTTCAGAGGAGGCCGTTCCCAGGAGGGGCGTCGAGAGCCGAGAGGCCCGGGGCTCCGCGCGCGGCGGGCGGGTGGCTGGGCACGCGGGCGTCCGCGTGCTCCGCGCGTCGGCCCGCGCCGTTCTCCTGCGCCGCGGCAGCGTCGCCGCTGCCACCAGCCAGCAGCGCCTGGTTCGACTAGACGTAAGAGTGACTTTTCGCTGGAGTGACCTTTGGTGCGGGCACAGATGGGTCCCCAGATGGCTGGAAACGGAGCAGGAGTAACGGCTTGCGCGCCCAGGCTTGGTCCCCACGTGGCCCCCAAAAAGCCGCGCACTAAAGGTCACTCTTACCCAGGGTCACTCTTGCGTGTAGCCGACTGGTGGCGGCTCTCAGCAGCGAGCCCCCCCCGATCGCTTCGCGGAGCTGGACCAGCCAGCCGGGGAGCGGCAGAGGAGCGTCTGGGCGCCCGAAAAGGGTGCGGAAAGAGTGGGCACAATGCCCAACAGCAGCTCTGGCTCATTTTGAACAGGACTCGCTGTCCGCGCCGCCGCGGACTGTGTCGGTTCGAGACAGAAGGCCGCCTGCCCAACAGCGGCCGCCGTTGGTTTTGGACAACGTTTGCTGTTGGGCATTGTGCCCATTATTTCCGCACCCATTTCGGGCGTCCAAATTCAAGAGGGAAAAAAACACACAGACACAATTAATCGTCGAGTCCCAGGGAAAGATGGGAAAACATGGGAAGTGGGGGGGAAGACAAAAACCCGGAAAATATAAGAAAATATGGGGAATCTTTTTATTTGTGTGTATCTATGTGTGTGTCCTGGGGCCCCTTCACAAAGCCTGGCAGGGGTCTGGGGAGCCACGCAGGTGCAGGTGCCAGACGTCCGCGGGCGCCTATAGATCCGCAGGCCGCCGCGACGGAGGAGGCGCTTGGCATCGCTCGGACGTGTGCGTTTTTCCTTCGGCGAGGACCATCGAGGAGCATCCTTGATCATTTGGCGAAAAAGCCACGCACGAAGCCGGAAAAAGCACAGGGAATGGACGTCCGAGCGATGGCCAGGGCGGGCGCCGAGGGAGGCAGGCCCCGGGCCCCGGGAGCTCTGCCCGGGGCCAGGCTCGCCCCCGCCCTGCCCCGGGGGCCCGTGGGGGGCCCCACGGGAGCCCGAGGGCGGCGAGAGGCCGTCCAGGGCTGGGGCCCTCCTCTCTGCCCTGTGCCGTTCCCCGGGGGCGTCATGCTCGGCATCGGCGCTGGCGCATCCTCCTCCTCCTCCTCCTCCTCCTCCTCCTCCTCCTCCTCCTCCTCCTCCTCCTCCTCCTCCTCCTCCTCCTCCTCCTCCTCCTCCTCCTCCTCCTCCTCCTCCTCCTCCTCCTCCTCCTCCTCCACCCTTCCTCCTCCTCCTCCTCATCCTCCTCCTCCTCCTCCAACTCCGCCTCTTCCTCCTCCTCCAACTCCGCCTCCTCCTCCTCCTCCTCCTCCGATCGAGATTCTCGCCCAGTCGGGCACGATCCCACTCAATGCGGCTCGAATGGTCCGGCCCGGCCCCACCGAGCGAACCCAGCCTGGTCCCCGGCTTCAGCCGGCCCGCTCCTGCGCGATGGCCTCTCAATCGGGCTGAGCAGCCTTCAGTCTCTGGGAGTACGCTCAAACTCGGGCTCGCCCACCCTTTTCGACGAGCGCGACTTGGATTTTGACGGCCCAGTCTCCATTGGATGTTTGCAGCAGGAGCTCGGGTCAAATTGCAGAGCGGGCTTCGCCAGTTTCCTGACGGCCCCGACGGGCCAACCCGAGTCCCCCGAACCCGAGCCTTATCGGCGTCACCCTAACATACTTGTACTATATGTGCGTCGCCTCCCTCAGGGGCGATGCGCGCACCGAGAAATCTCATAGTATATGCGCCGTGGCGCGCGCTTTCTGGCCACACCGCTCGGCCGCGTCGATTGGCGGAGTGCCCATGTTTCTGCTCCCGAGAGGGTGCTGCCGCCGCACGTGCTGCGGGCCGACGCCCGCCGGAGCTGGTCCCCGGGTCGTTTTCACCACACGCTGTGCTGCTAAACGCTTGGCATCGCTCGGACGTGTGCGCTTTTCCTTCGGCGAGGACCACCGAGGAGCATCCTTGATCAGTTGGCGAAAAAAACACGCACGAAGCCGAAAAAAGCACAGGGAATGGACGTCCGAGCGATGGCCAGTACGAGGGTTCTGCCCGTCTTCACTTAGAGGCCCCAGCTCCCAGATCCCGAGTGTTTCTTGGTCGCGCTTGGGGGCGGTGAGTGCAGCTGTGGCGGAGGAGTCTTCTAGTCGCGGTGGCCGGGCAAGTTCGTTAGGTCGCGCGCGCAGCGTCAGATAAAGTTCCAGCCTTGAGAGCGATGGTGCCCAGTTATCGGTGAATTGGGAACCACCTATTCGGGCTTCTTTCTTAGATTGGCGTTGCCCTCATCAGCGCTCTCACCATCACTTCCCGTTGCTCTCACCAATACCCCTCCCCTCCTCCGTCTCCTCATTGTCTTTATGTTGTTCAAGCTGGCGTTAAGGATTCGCCTTTGGAGTCAAGTGCTTTGGCATCCATATGTTCTGGGCCGCACTTGCATGTTTTGTTGGTTCATCTGTCCAAGGGTACCCTGGCGTATCGGCGCATTACAGGCGCCTTGTATCCTTGTATTCCACACTATGACACGTGATGATCGTACATTCTTCACGTTTCGCGTATCCCCACCTCCCTCTCTATGTTTTCCCTTGGGTGATGGCACAGCCTGCCCCTGCTTGCACGGCGTTCGACCCGTTTCGCGCGCCCGCGTACCAAAAGGTATCCCCACCATCCCATTCGGAAATTTGGTCCATGAGAGTTGGCGGGAAACGGGGTGAAGAGACGCATGGTGTAGTGAAACACAGTTGGCAACCAGGGTGGACAGAAAGATCATTAGGAGCAAGGGGGTAGCCTTAGAGGACCTCGTCGGGCCATCCCTGAGGCCCGCGTGGGGGCGAGGGGAGGAGGAGGAGGAGGAGGAGGAGGAGGAGGAGGAGGAGGAGGAGGAGAAGGAGGAGGAGGAGGAGGAGGAGGAGGAGGAGGAGGAGGAGGAGGAGGAGGAGGAGGAGGAGGAGGAGGAGGAGGAGGAGGAGCGGGAGGAGGGAGACGACGACCACGACCACGACGACGAGGAAGAGGAGTAAAAGGGAAAGGAAGATGAGGGCAAGGACAAGGACGAGGAGGAGGAGGAGGAGAGCAACGAGGACGAGGGCATCGCCCTCAAAGTCGCCTTTCGGAGCCCTCGTGGGACACGTTTGGGAAATCTTGGGGTCCTCTTTGGGGCTCTTTTCGAGGGTCTTGGGGCCCTCTTGGGGCTCTCTGTTAGAGGCCTGTTGGGAGCCCTGGAGGGCCTTGGGGCCACCGTGGAGGGCGTCGGCGAACGCAGAGGGGCTCCTAACGTTTAGTGCCCCCCCTGGGGCCATCAACATCGCCCTCTGGGGGCCCTCTTGGTGCTCTCTCCTGGGCGCTCTTGGAGCTGCCTGGGGGGCCTCCGACGCCGCTCGTGGGCCTCTCTTGGGGGGCCACCCTGACGCCTCGAGAGCGCCTCGGAAGCGAAAAGGCGAAGAGGCAAAAATCGTTGAACGATGCTGTCGATCGTGTTCTTATCCATTGCTTTGCCGATCGGCGCTGGCCCTCGCATCCCCCCACCCCTGGAGAGGATCTTGGCTATTTTGGGAACCTCTTTCACACGGGTGGATTCTCCCCCACGGGCCACACATTTGCAAACAGTCGCTCTAAGCAGAGGTCCGTAGCCAGACACCCCGCCCCCTCCCCCCCTTCGGCCCAATGTCGAAACGCCGAATCAGAAAACGTTCACGGCGTTGGCCTCTAGGGGGGTGGTCCCGAGGGGGGGCTCCGAGAGCAGTTGGAACCGTCCTGTGCCCCTCGTCGGGTCTTCTGGAGGAGTGTCGGAAGTTATCTCTTGAAGCATCGTCGGTGGTCTTGGGCCATGTGGGAGGCCGTCTTGGAGCATCGGATGCCCTCTTGGAGCCATCTTGGGCGCCCCAACGCGTCGCGAAACCCCCAGGAACACCTCAGGGGGAGAGGCAAACCTCCCGAAGGGGAAGAGGTTTTTGGGAGAGGAAAGGAAGAGACCGCCAGACCACTTTTGCCCAAAGGGCTGCAGGGATTCTTAGCTGCTCGTCTGGCAAGTTCTGCTCCTACTCGCCACCCTCTCCCCGATTGTCATGTGCCTCGTCCTCCTGCTCCTCGTGTGCCGCCCCAGAGTTCCCTTGGCATTGCTCGGACGTGTGCATGTGTTCTCGGCGAGGACCATCGAAGAGCATGCTGGATCATCGTGCGGAAAATAAACGCACGAAGCCGAACAATGCATGGGGAATGGACGTCCGAGCGATGGCGAGCTCCTCTGCCCTCCGCGCTTCTCCCCTTCTGCCCTCCACTCTTGCACCCGGCAGAGCACCTAGCAACCTTCTTGGGGACTCGCTACAGTCGCCAACCTCAGATAGCCGAATCGCACCACCTGCCAAAGGGAGGAGGAGAAGGAACCTCAACCCCCTCGCATCATAAAGAAGCATGGTGGAAAGGCTGCTTTTGGCAGGTGTCAGCTTCTGGGGGCTCATAAGGACCAGTCCCCAGGATTGCACAAAAAACGACCCAGGATGCAAGCCGTTCCTGGGAAGGGGTCGACATTCCACATTTCTGGAATCCACGCTGTCCATAAACAATCACGAAGTCCGGATTCTGGTGAGAGGAAGGATGGGGAGCGGCAGGAAGAGGGTCGAAACATGCCGGAGTTTGTTGCACGGGGCTCTGTGAGGGCTCCAGGTTGTTACCGGGGGGGGTCCATCCATCCTTGTTGCCAGCGGGTGCCCATGGGCGAGGGGCAAGAACCAGATAGTCTTAAGTCGGGCCTGTCCCTCTACAGGAGGGATACTCAAAAACAGGCAAAAAATAATCTGGGGACTATTTTTTGACTTTTTGGGAATTTGGGGGTATTGTTTGACTATTTGGGTTTTTTCGCCCAAAATCCCCCTGTAGGGGGACACGCCCGACTTGAAGATATTCTTCTGGCAAAAACCATATTCGAAGGAGGCTCGTCCGAGAGAGCTCCTGTTGCTTACCCGTGGAGTCGTACATTCTGTGCCGCCAGGTCTCCACTGCCAGGCATGCTGCCGACGCTCCGGGTTCAACTCTTTTGGGGCCCAGCTCTCCGTGTTGCCAAGACTAATGCTCGGGGGGGTGATGTTGACCATCGGTGCACATTCTGTGCAAAACGGGGCCAGAACCTTAGTAAAACCAATGAGTTTGGCTTCCTCGCCGAGGCCGTTCTGGACGCTCCGACACCTCGCTGAACCCCCCGTCCAGGTCCATGGGGAGGGAGTGGGGAGGGGTAAACCCCTCCCCGAAGGGGAAACAGGAGGGGTGGAAGAGGAAACTCCCTAAACCACCCACGCCCGGAAGGCTGGTGGGATTTTTGGGGTTTGATTTTGACCATCGGTGCGCATTCTGTACAACCAGCTGGTTGTTCATTGTGCAACAGTTCCATGTTTGGGCTTGACTGTGATCATCTGGGTGCAACCCTTACGTGCAGCAACCAAGCCCACAACTCCACTCCCAGGCCTCATTTTGAGCACCGCGAGCCAACCTCCAGCGTATGCCGCTTGTCGTGTTGCCTGAAGTCCACTCCTGGGCCTGACTTGGAGCGTCCGGAGCCAGCCCTCCTAGGGTTTGGTGCACTCCGTGTGTGCCAGAACTAACTATACACTTGGACCTGATCTCGAGCGGCTGGAGTCAACCCTCCAGCACCAGCTCCAGGCCATCTCCCGCTGATCATTCAGCGCCAACTCCAGCTCGTGCCTCGTTCCCAATTCCAGCTCCCATGCAGCGTCAGCTCAGTTCCAAGCCCAGCCCAGTCTCCATGCGCTGCCCCACTCCATGCCCCAGCTCTAGCCCAAACTCCAGCTCGAGCTTCAGCGCGAGCTCCTAATTTCTGGACCAGCTGCAGCGCCAGCCTGGCCCTAGTTCCATGTTCGCTCCAGTGTCACTCCAACCCCACCTGGCAGCCCCAGGTCCAGCTCCATATCCAGCTCCAACTTTGCTCCAGCTCCATCTTCGCTCTAGCCCAGCGCAGCTCCATTTTTAGCTCCACCTCCAACCCAGCTTCAGCCCTAGTCCAGCCAGCCAGCCCCAACCCCAGCTCCAGCTTCGCTTCATTCCCACCTCCAGCCCCAGCTCTAGCCTCAGCTCCAGGTCCAGGTCTCGAGCTCCAGCTGCAATCCAACCCTAGCTTTAGCTCCAGCCCAGCTCCAGCTCCAGTCTTGCGTCCTCTCAAATGTCAGCCTGTTCAGGTTCTGCCTGAGGTTCGGATTGCATGTCCCAGCCTGCTTTGCTCAAGGCTCCGCAGTTCGCTCCGCTCAGCTTCAATGAAGTGGCCTAGGTTGCACACACACACACACACAAAAGGTGCATGTCCCAGGATGTATGGCTCATGCCAAAACGCGGTTCGGCAACGCTTGCGAAACACTCGTTGCGTAGAACAGCGTGTCGTAATTCGCAGGTGTTTTCAGTCGTGCGTTTCCACGCGTTCGCCGATCGATTAGCAAACGCCGGCGTGTCAAGCGTGTGCTTCGGATGATTCCTGGGCCATCACAGTGCCCAACGGGACTCCTTCCAGACGTCCAGAGGTTCTCTGACGTGTACAGGGGAACAAGAAGTGGCATAAACATAAAAAAACTCTGAGGTCCGCGCGGATTTCTCGGATCTGTGCTGGGGCCCCCGGGCGGCGCCTCCGGCGCCGCCCATGGCGCGCTCCGCGCGCCAGGGAGTGGGGTCCAGCGCCGATCCGAGAAATCCGCGCGGACATCCGAGTTTTTATGTTTATACCCCTTTTTGTTCCCCTAGTGTAGTCGAAGCCACCGCGCCATGCTCGCGCCGGAGGTCCTCACTCCTGCTCTCTGCCCCCACTCGCTCCCTGCCCCCACTCGCTCCCTGCCCCCCTCTCCCCCCCGCCTCTGCGGCCCGAGACCGCCAGGACGTCCCCCCCTCCTCTCCTCCTCCTCCTCCTCCTCCTCCTCCTCCTCCTCCTCCTCCTCCTCCTCCTCCTCCTCCTCCTCCCTCCTCCTCCTCCTCCTCCTCCTCCTCCTCCTCCTCCTCCTCCTCCTCCTCCTCCTCCTCCTCCTCCTCCTCCCCCTCCTCCTCCTCCCTCCCTCCCTCCCTCCCTCCCTCCCTCCTCCCCTCCCTCCCTCCTCCCTCCCTCCCTCCCCCCCTCCCCCTCCCTCCCATCCCTCCCTCCCTCCCTCCCCTCCCTCCCTCCCTCCCTCCTCCCTCCTCCCTCCTCCC